CAGTGACTAGAGTGAAATCCCTGCAAGCTGCATGGACACTTTTCAAAGACACCATAATAGAGGCTCAACTTAAATGTATATCCCAAATTAAAAAACACAGTAAAAGAACTAAAAAAGAGCCACCGTGGCTTAACAACCATGTAAAAGAGGCAGTGGGAGATAAAAAGGCATCTTTTTAAAAGTGGAAGTCAGATTCTCATGAGGTAAATAGAAAGGAGCATAAACACTGCCAAATTAAATGTAAAAGTGTAATAAGAAAAGCCAAAAAGGAGTTTGAAGAACAGCTAGCCAAAAACTCAAAAGGTGGTAATAAAATGTTTTTAAAGTACATCAGAAGTAGGAAGCCTGCTAAACAACCAGTGGGGCCCCTGAACGATCGAGATACAAAAGGAGCACTTAAAGATGATGAAGTCATTGCAGAGAAACTAAATGAAGTCTTTGCTTCAGTCTTCACGGCTGAGGATGTTAAGGAGATTATCAAACCTGAGCTGTCTGTTGTAGGTTACAAATCTGAGGAACTGTCACAGATTGAAGTGTCACTAGAGGAGGTTTTGGAATGAATTGAGAAACTTAACCGTAACAAGTCACTGGGACCAGATGGCATTCACCCAAGAGTTCTGAAATGTGAAATTGCGGAACTATTAACTATGGTTTGTAACCTGTCCTTTAAATCAGCTACTGTACCCAATGACTGGAAGATAGCTAATGTAACACCAATATTTAAGAAGAGCTCTAGAGGTGATCCTGGCAATTACAGACCGGTATGTCTAATGTCAGTACCGGGTAAATTAGTTGAAACAATAGTAAAGAATAAAATTGTCAGACACATAGAAGAACATAAATTGTTGCGCAAAAGTCAACATGGTTTCTATAAAGGGAAATCATGTCTTACTAATCTGTTAGAGTTCTTTGAGGGGGTCAACAAACATGTGGACAAGGGGGATCCAGTGGACATAGTGTACTTAGATTTCCAGAAAGCCTTTGACAAGGTCCCTCACCAAAGGCTCTTATGTAAATTAAGTTGTCATGGGATAAGAGGAAAGATCCTTTCATGGATTGAGAACTGGTTAAAAGACAGGGAACAAAGGGTAGGAATAAATGGTAAATTTTCAGAATGGAGAGGGGTAACTAGTGGTGTTCCCCAAGGATCAGTCCTAGGGCCAATCCTATTCAACTTATTCATAAATGATCTGGAGAAAGGGGTAAACAGTGAGGTGGCAAAGTCTGAAGATGATACTAAACTGCTCAAGATAGTTAAGACCAAAGCAGACTGTGAAGAACTTCAAAAAGAAGTTTAATGTGGATAGATGTAAAGTAATGCGCATTGGAAAAATAACTCCAGCTATACATACAATATGATGGGGGCTAATTTAGCTACAACTAATCAGGAGAAAGATCTTGGGACTCATCATGGATAGTTCTCTGTAGACGTCCACGCAGTGTGCAGTGGCAGTCAAAAAAGCAAAAGGGATGTTAGGAATCATTAAAAAAAGGGACAGAGAATAAGATGGCGAATATCTTATTGCCCTTATATAAATCCATGGTACACCCACATCTTGAATACTGCGTACAGATGTGGTCCCCTCATCTTAAAAAAGATATACTGGCATTAGAAAAGGTTCAGAAAAGGGCAACTAAAATGATTAGGGGTTTGGAACGGGTCCCATATGAGGAGAGATTAAAGAGGCTAGGACTTTTCAGCTTGGAAAAGAGGAGACTAAGGGGGATATGACAGAGGTATATAAAATCATGAGTGGTGTAGAGAAAGTGAATAAGGAAAAGTTATTTACTTGTTCCCATAATATAAGATCTAGGGGCCACCAAATGAAATTAATGGGTAGCAGGTTTAAAACAAATAAAAGGAAGTTCTTCTTCACTCACCGCACAGTCAACCTGTGGAACTCCTTGCCTGAGGAGATTGTGAAGGCTAGGACTATAAGCGGGTTTAAAAGAGAACTGGATAAATTCATGGAGGTTAAGTCCATTAATGGCTATTAGCCAGGGTGGGTAAGGAATGGTGTCCCTAGCCTCTGTTTGTCAGAGGTTGGAGACGGATGGCAGGAAAGAGATCACTTGATCATTACCTGTTAGATTCACTCTTTCTGGGGCACCTGGCATTGGCCACTGTCAGTAGACAGGATACGGGGCTGGATGGACCTTTGGTCTGACCCAGTATGGCCATTCTTATGTTCTTAAATTGTTTCTTTCTGCATTACATCCTTTAACCTTTGAACTTCACCATATTGATAAGTTACTCAATTTTGTAAAGGAGTGCTACGAATTGTAGCAGAGCATTCCAGATACTGGCAACAATTCATTACTATTTCATCACCGAAATGAAGCAGTATTTCTGTATATTCTGCCGTCAGAATGAATAGTTCTTTCCACAATTTACAGTCTGCTTAACAGTGCTTGAAAGCAGAAAATGAGCATATAGTTAAAGTAAATGGCCCTGTGTATATTATCCACAGTATACTTTAGTTTGTGTAGCGCATAGCTAACTGTGAAAACCTCATTTTGAAAATCTATGATCTTTTAGCACCCTTCCCCAGTGTTACTTCAATAAAGCTGGAGGCTGCTGCCACTTAAATCTATCCGTGTCTGTCTTCATTCACCTATGTGTCCTGATATTCACTTTCAAAGCCCAGTGCTATATCTGGATCCAGACTTGATACCTGGAGTTTGACAAAGGTAGTGAGCAGAAGAGGATACCTCACAGAAATTAACACACTCCTTATATCAAGAAATAAGTCAACCAATAGACTGTATTCCAAAAGATGGCCAAGGGTTTAGGTGCTGGTTCAGGAAGCAAGAGATCGGACCAAATTCAGTAAAGGTGAAATACACATTATCAGTCTTTCATGTAGGAAGCTTAGTAAGGGAATTAAGCCTGTTTGGTTTCCTGTGCTGTCTTTATGAAATTCATAACTTTATGGAATGGGCCTTAATTTGGAAAAAAGGGTTACATCATGCTGCATGGTATTTGGATAATTATTTTGTTTGCAGGTCGGGCCAGCTCAGGAATATGTGGGATTTTAGAAGGTGCTGATGGTTAAGTTACAGGGGAAATATGGAACCTCCAGTATCCAAGTTGCCATAGCTGGGCATTCATATGGACACCTAGTGCGATCTTTCCCAGCTTCCTAGGGAGAAGGTGGTATAACCCAGATTTCTAGTCACCTCATCCCTGGCTCTAAATCGGAGTTCCCAAACTTTTTGCTGGCACAACCCCATTTTAATTATTTGCTGCCAGACTCCGAGACAGCGTGGAGGCTGCCATTTTGAAGAGCAAAATGGCATCCTATGCACAGCGTGATCTCACATGCGCCATAAGTGTGAGATCATGCTGCACGAAGGATACCATTTTGTAGCACGAAATGGCATCCACACAGTGTGACCTCATACGTACTAAGTCACATTGTGCGGAGGATGCACCATATGTGCGAGGTCATGCTGTGTAGAGCAAAATGGCATCCTCCGCACGCTAAGGATCACTGTGACCCCATCTGCTGATAATGCAATCCCAAACAGTTTGGGAACATCTGCTCTAAATGATGCTGGAGTAGAGACTTGTATAAGCCGCCTCTCTTTGCTAGAGGACCCATGGAAAGGGTGGGTGGGTCCAGGGGCTTCAGAGTGCCATTTAAAGTGGAGGAGGCCATAGATTTGCCCCTTTCCCACCTGACCTTCCTCTTCCCCTCTCACCTGCAGCCAAATCCCCTCCCCATGAGATTACATCTCTTGACAGGTAGCTGACAAGAGAGTAGAAAAACTGGCCAGGCCAGTCAGAAACCAGCTGGGTGACAACTCTATTTTCCATGTACCTGCTTAAAAGTGGTTAGGCCATGACCCTGGTTTGCTGGCCTCCACCCCTTTCCTCTCTTGGCTCCACAGCCCGTGGGTGGGTCAAGAAGGACATGAGGCTACTCCTTTGTCTCCATTTTAAACAACCATACGTGTTGGAAGATGTGGAGAGAAGCTGATGAAAGGAAATCTGGGTAGAGGAGGTGCATTGTGCCCGCACCCACACAACCAAGTAGTGCAGGGATCTGGGCATATTAACTATACTTCCTGAGTGGTGGTTCTGGTGTTTTTGTTTGTCATTACTGGTTCCATTTGTCATCTGTAACATGTTTATCCTAATTTTTCATTCTCCCCATGCTTTTCTTAAATAAAGTGCCTCCTCCTTTAAAAAGCAAACTGCATATTGAGTTTTATCATGGTTTTGCACCTGTTGTAGGTATCATTTGTTTCTTGGAATTTACAAGTGACGGGCCCCACCTATGCAGAAATCAGTTACACGAAGGGTCCCTGTGGCAACTTTGTGTCTAGGGGGTCACTAAAGTGGAAAATCTGCAAAAATTAATTTTTGGGTGCACTCTGGGCTAAGAACATTAGTCAATTAGAAGCCCTTATTTGACATTTGAATTTTGCCTGTTGTGTGGTGCCCCCTGGTCACAGCCTTTGGTTTCCAGTTTGAGGCAGAGTAATGTACCTGTTCTGCTTCACTAGAGTCACTAAGGAAATGAGGAAGTACTTAGGAGCACAGAAACTGTTTATGCGGGCTTAATAGGATATCTTCGGGAAGAACCAAACTGCATTGACTTGTGTGTTGAATTTCACAGTGAACAGAGCGTGTAGTGATGGTGCTCAGAGTGGGCCTGGCAAGGGCTGATAAAGGATATTGGATTCTTTCATTTTTCCCTATCTTGTTGCAATCACAATCACTACCCACATCTTCCAGATTAGAGATTCTTTTTTGGTGTAACAGTTATGCTGTGGTCCACATTGGCAGTAGCCTGACAGTCATATCCTATGCAGTAGTTCAGCTTGTGGGCAGATTTCAAAGCTTAAAGCTTACTATTTATTTCTCTTTGAATCCTCTGTGCCAGTCCAGATACTTGGGGATAGATCCTCCCTGCCAGCAGATGAAGACAATGCACAAAACACTTTCAGCTATGTAATCCCCCACCCTGTATTTAATAGGCTTGCCAGCTTACATAGCTCCAGCGCTGCTGTCTCCAGAAGGTGGAGATCCCATACTTTTGTTGGCTGACCTACAGACTGGAGAGAAAAGAAAGGCCTATGACTCGAAAACCCCTTTTAGGACTGGGACACCCTCAGTCTTCTCATCCGGTGGGCTGCTTGTTGAAGGACTCAGCATATCTGACTCCCACAGGACCCACAGTGAATCCCAGATGATGCTGGGACAGCTGCACCTGGCAACTGCAAGAAACTGCCAGGTGATCATCCTCCTTAATGTACAAAGGCTCATGCTCGTGAAGTAAGGGGCAATATAGGGGACAAAGCACCACCTGCCCAATCTCCTTAACAGCCTAAAAGTTTGGGCAGGAAGCAAGACAGGGCAGTACCCTCAGCACTCTGCTGAACTAACTAGCAAGTGTGGGGAAACCCTGGGTCCAATGAGGCCTCAGACCATAGGGATTCACCCCTCTCTCTGTGAAATAGGCTGCCTTCCTTCAGAGGCAGAAATCATAGAATATCAGGGTTGGAAGGGACCTCAGGAGGTCATCTAGTCCAACCCCCTGCTCAAAGCAGGACCAATCCCAATTTTTGCCCCAGATCCCTAAATGGCCTCCTCAAGGATTGAACTCTCAACCCTGGGTTTAGCAGGCCAATGCTCAAACCACTGAAGTATCGCTCCCCAAAGTGCCCATCCCTTTCCTCTGCTGCTCAGGAAGCCTCCAGGCTTTGTTACTCTATGATGTCCCCAATCTCCACAGGGCAGAGAGGCTTTCTCTGGCTCTTCTCCAGCTTGCGATTGCCACTACCACCACTCCCCCGCCCCTACCAGTGCTCAGGGATGGGGCACAACATTAAATATTTTAAGTTAGTGAGCAGCAAATCTCCACACACTAGCCTTTGTCTAGAACTACTCTTGTCCCCGACTTCTGGCTGTGACCACTGCTCCCCGCCTCTCAGAGCTAAGCCAAGTCCCCGCTCCTTCCTCCTTTCCTCAGCCAGGCCACATCCTAGCTGGGAAAATTCCTTCCCAACTCCTTTCAAAGTAGGATGACTGTACGTCCTGTTCTGGCCGGGACAGTCCCCTTTTTAAGCTCTGTCCCTGCCCTCGCGACTTTTCTTTTCTTCTTCTTTTTTATTTTTTTTTTTTTAACAAAAAAGGGCATTTGTCAAAACTGATCAGTTGGCAAAAACAAAAAAAAAAATGCCCAGTTTACCAAAAAAGTAGGGGGCGCCTCCCCCAGGTGGGGCATGGAGGAACATTAGGAGGTGGTGATGAGAGGTGCTGGGCAGCAGGGCTTGGGGGTCAGTCGCAGCCCCAGGTAGCATGGGGCTCAGCCCCAGTCGTCGCGGGGGTCAGCCCCAGCCGCGGTCGGCATAGAGTTTGGGGGGGGATCAGCCCCAACCTCACGCGGCGTGGAACTTGAGGGGAGGGTATCAGTCCCAGCTCCAGCCACTGCAGCGGGCAGTGTGGGGCATGGAGCTCGGGGGGGGGGGGGGGTCACCCCAGCCGCAGGCAGCACAAGGCTCCAGTGCTCAGCCCGAGCCCCAGCTGTGGGTGGCATGGGGCACACAGCTCGGGGGGGGGGGAGGCTCAGCCCCAGGCAGCGCAGAGCTTGGGAAGGTATAGGTGCTGGAACTAGGGGTGTGGGGCATAGGTGCCCCCTGGCTTTAAGTGATTTCCATTGTTTACAGTTTTCATTGGCGCTCTCAGCATCCCCACTATACAAATTTCTCTTTGCAGGCAGCGTGGAGCTCCGGGAGGGGTGTGTCAACCTGGCCACGGGCGGCATGGGGCGCAGAGCTCGGGGGGGAGCTCAGCCCCAGCCCTGGGCGGTGGGGGGATGGTGGCTCTTGCGAGTCCCGTGGGCGTGTGTGGTGGCTCAGGCGAGCCCCGGCTGACCCGTTTTTACTTTAGAAAATATGGTCACCCTACTTCAAAGCCTTCAGACTAGAGGTTATGTGAGTCATGCATGGGTAATAACTTCCTTGCATGAGCGCTAGTATATGTAAAAACATAGTCAAGATGACTTCTATTTCACACTTCAGTGTTTTAATCTAGTCTTGCAGTTTAACACACTCACTCTTCCTTGGGCAACTGCATTTTCTATAATCTCTCAGTGAAACATTTAACTTTGGCACAGGAAGTGTTTAAAAATTATCCCCTTTTGAAATTCCAGCTGAAAGGCTATGGTGCTTAGCAAGGTTTTGGGGAAAGGCACGAATGGTTGTGGGACAGAGGCAGGAAAGTCCCTCTGCCAAAAGTACATGTTATGTAAGAAAATCAGTTTGATTTGTAAATTAGTTCATACAGACAGAGAAAATATCTTTGCATTAAACCTACCTAGTAATACCTTAGATTTGATGAGTGACAAGATGTGTTTTACATAACAAAATAAAGGTTCAACTACTAAACCAATTAAAAACTAGACATATAACAAGCATGTATTTTTAAATGTTTAATGTAGAGCGAATTCTAGGAGAAATACATAACCTAAAGTATAAACAAGCACACCACAAACACTTTGGGCCAAATGGATTCCTGTCTGGAAGATTACAATAGTCGACTTGAGCTTGTCTTTTCAGTATTTTTACCATCAGTCAATTAAATTAAATAGAGTGACTAAGTTGGTATACCTTATCAGCTTTTTCTAAAATACCCGTGTGCGTTTGGTAAGGCTAGTGAAGTGCGGTCGATGGGGATTTACTTATCCCCTTGAAGCGTACCTTGTCAGTGGGAAGCAGGGTGTCTGCAGCACGTGGTGGCGGCGGGTGTGTGATCTGTGCGTGGCTGTAATAAGCAAAGGTTTAACTAGTTATTTTTGGCATGTATTGTACTGATGAGACGCGTACACAACAACAACCCCCCACGTCACGTCAAAGATAATTACATGGGCAGGCGTTGAAGTATGTCCCGTCGCAGGCGATGAAAAAGCGAAAGTGAAAGCGACTGTATCGAAACTGGTAGGAATCTGAAGCACCCAGACAAGACAAAGCGTGAAGAAAGATATGTTCCTGTTTACAACTGACATGGTGATCTAGGTTGAAAAATGGAGGTAATCGCAAGCCTGAACAGCAAGGAAGGCCGATGGAAAACCAAATAAGGTACAAAACGACCTCTGTTTTAATTCTCCAGAAGGGAAGAGCTCAAAAAGGGGGGAAGGATAGCTCAGTGAGTTGAGCATTGATCTGCTAAACAGAGGGTTTTGAGTTCAATCCTTGAGGGGGCCATTTAGGGATCTGGGCCAAAAATTGGGGATTGGTCCTGCTTTGAGCAGGGGGTTGGACTAGATGACCTCCTGAGGTCCCTGCTGTTCTATTCTATGATCTGCAACTGTTTTGGTCTGAGAATCAGGTTGGAGTCAGGAAGAAGGAAGTGTGACAAAATTACCCAGGATGGGAGCAGAGAGATAAATAAATCGGAGTCAGCTAGCAGCTAACTCTCTGCAGCAGTTTGATTTAAGTATAAGGGAGAATTTTATACTTTTAAAAAGCAAACAATTTTAGTCTCAACTATTAAGAAATAGATTGGATAGCCTAATAATGAGGGTCTGTGTTTGGGGCTGAAGTCCCTTGTCTGAGCAAACGAAGACATTTTGGGAGGGATTAAACCAAGCAAATATTTATTATGATGCCAAGGTGGTTTTATTTTTAATTCCAAATTTACTACACCCTCAGGATAAGGAGCCAAGACTGTCTACGAAATATTTTACTAAAGACTCTTATCTGCCAGTTTTTTGAAGGAAACATTGGATTTAAAGAGAGATCAAGGGAAGTAGATGAGAAGTAATTATTGAAGAGACCTGTGCAACTTTTTTTTTTGGTGGTGGTGGGGGTCTGTATTTCCCTCTGAGGGTCAATGTTCCCTCTAATTTTTGACTGGCCGTGTGCGGAAAAAATTTCTGTGCAAATTTTTATGCGCTCGGTGTTTTGCGTGTGCACGGGGTTTAGGATCTGTGTGCGGGCGCACATGTGCACAGCTTAGAGGGAACAGTGCTGAGAGCTCTTCTTCTGTTTTAGTATCAATTAATGCTAACCATGGCTTTTTATCGGGCTATTTCTAGTTTCACTCTCTCTCCTGCAAGTGATTGTGGGTCTGTTTGGGAGTGAGGCTGGAACTGAGTGGTGCAGCTGTTGCTGCTTTCTCTTTGTTTGATGTAAGGTTTGGGTTTTTTTGTTTTGTTTCGGATTGGTGTTGGTTGTGGGTGTAGTTTTGGGGAGTTTTGGCCTTGCAGGCCAGCCTTGCTGGCACTCCTTTGACTCCCCAGCCGTGGGGTGCAGACACCACCCATTCTCACAGGTGGTAAGGTTCTTGATCTATGGTGATGATTGGCAGAGCTCACCTTCAAAAATCTGCTTCCATGAAGGAGTGTGCCCTGGCGAGGGGAAAGCAGGTCACTTGTAAGAATATAATGTATGCCTCTTGCATGAGCAAAGCTGTTTGTTAGCACATTGAGCCTTGTTAATCTGGTTGCTGTGTGATGGATACCTGTGTGTCCTTGTTCTGCCTCCCTCTGTGTTAGCTGTTAGCATTGCCATTTCTCACGTGCTCCCTTTCATAGGGAATTGAGCTGCTGACCAGAGATTTTACAAGATATGGTTAGGTCACTAGTCCCATTAGAAGAATCCCTTCTAATATATAAAGTCCCAGCAGCTCAGCAGGTCCTGTTCTTTCATAGAGAGGTTATCAAATACTGCCTCTAAATCTTTGGAAAGTTCCCTTAAGTATAGAATTGGTGATTGACAATATTTTGTCTGTGGCTGAGGCTTTGGCTTGCTTCTAAGTGGGAGCCTAACGTGTCATCAAGCAGCCTTCTGAGAAGAACCAAGCAGCCACTAGGAAGAATGCACCTGGGACTGAGGTGGCATCTATGAAAGGCTCTGGGCACATCTGTGAGTCACCTGAATGAAGTCCCACAGTGAATACAAATACTAACAGCAGAGGGAACCCTATGCTTTGAAGGTGCTGCAAAGTGATCATTTTAGTCTCTGGAGTTGGGGAGCACAGTGTTCTATGAGCAAACCTAGCACATTCTGAGCAGGCTGCTGAGGGGTGTGGGGATTTCCCAGCAGCCACTATCATCCTCCCAGTCCTCACAGCCTCCCCCCCCCCCCCCCGTTAGTCACTTTGCGGCTACCTTCCTTAATGTTCCTGAGACGTAGTGACTGTGGGCCTGGGACCAATGGGGATGATGACCTCATGGACCATCTGGGTCCTGAACTCAAGATGCCATTAGCTGTTTGCTTAATGAGAGCAAGGGTTAACATGGGTGGACATGAAGGGTATGTTTTCTAAACCTAACCTGATTTTACTGTCTGCTTGGTATACTGTGAGACATGTTCTATCTGAGTTTGACAAGATAGAAAGTGATGACCAAAGTGCATGTTCCCTTAATCAGTAGTAATGCCAGGGGCTAGTGACCATGTGGTTTATTTCCTTTTTAGTTGGATCTCTGGATTTCTCTGTCCCGTCTCTCCCTTTCCCCCCATGATGCATGCTGATCCAGTGGACAATCTAACATGTGGGTCGCTGAATATCATTGGGTGCAGGGATGTTTAAATCCTATGGCTTTTTAAAAATATTTGTCCCAGAAGAAGGTTGACACTTCTTTTTTTGCAATAGATGCACACAAATGGTGGCAACTGAACTGACTAACTTGCCAACTGGAAGGGAGAGGTTTTTCTGTGCCCTGTATCCACAGTGACTGCAGGCGTTGTATTTCTTTTTAGTGTTCCATATTGGCTTGGAAACACAGTGTAACATATCTTGTGACTATTATCTTGGATAAAGTGAAGATATCCATGTTGAAGAGCAGAAAATATCAACTGGCTTGCTTCATTATTAGTGATGCTCTTTGTTGTTTGCTTTTTTTAAGACTTTTTGCATGATCTTGATAGACTAAGCTTTGGTCCATTGAAAATGAACCTTATCATGTTGTTGATTAGAGACTTGGTTTGAATTTGGCATTACGTTGTTTCTGTATTTTATGTTCTGACTTTATTAAGCAGTTTTTTAAAAGTCTGTCCCTATATATTATGTAATCTAGGCATTTACAGAAGTTGAATCTCCACCTTGATAGCTATTCCTGTATTGAACTGACACTTGAAATGTAATTATGGTTATAGACTTTTGCATAGGTAATTAACATCTTTTTAAAAAATTCAGTCACTTTTTCTTAACACTCCTCCTCACACTGTTACCTGAGAATCTGATTGAGGGAGCCCTTGTTATTGTTTGAGATGGGGCTTTGTAATGCTATTTTAAACTTCATAATTTTTTTCAGTTACAGAAAATAAACATTTACATTCATAAAAAAATTGATTAAAGAAAGCTTAATTTAAGTGTTCCTAGGATCACAAAGTGTCAGATAATCAATTGTGTACTGGTAGTATTTATTTGTTATTTAATGGCATTAGGTAACTTTCCACACACTGTGCAAGGGAGCAACAGAGAAAACGGTCTCATCTGTCACTAAATGAAAACTTGTCTTGTATTTGATCTTTGATACCTTTGAAAGCTTTATGAGAGAGAGGGATGGATGGTAAGGAGTTTTACTGAGGCCTCGATTGCTGCAGATTCAGCCCAGATTGACAGCTGTTTGATGTTTCTTGTGTAAATTAAGTTTGGCGTTGTTACAATTCTAGAAGACCAGTATCCCTATCACCAAAAACTACCCTCACAGTTAGCAGTCTCAGCAGAGGCCAGTGATTTAATGGTAAAGAAGACTGAATTACCTTGTCCCTTGAGGGGCTTCCCTCCAGGTTACAGCACAATGGTGGAGGAGTGCTCTGCCTATGTATGTGTTCGGTGGTAGAAGACTTTTTATTCTAAGACTGGAACTAAAATTAACAAGTGGTACAGGGGTAGCTGACTTTTCTCCTGGGCAAAATGTGAAATCCTCAGGCCTAACTCAGGAACATGATCAGGCATCTCATTTGCACATTGAGTGCACATTTGCCTATTGTGGACTGCTACTTAAGACAGTGATTTTCTCATGGATTAATTCTCTTCCTAACCTCAATTCTAAACCCTCCCTGTAGGGAGCATGAAAAGTAACATTACAGCAGGTTAAAAACAAACCATCCTTACTTCAATGACATGAACGGGGCATCTGCTTGGTTATGTTCTCTGTTTCTATCTATTTTTATTTCCTCTCCCTCATTGTAGCAATTTCACATTTAATACCAACCAATCTTCTATTTATTATTTCTTCATTTCTATGTTTGCTTCTCCTCCTGGTTTTGTGTTAAATGGAAATTTTTTGCGGTCCTCTGGGGGAAGCTTGAAACGTGTTATATTTAACACAGGGGTGAAGAGGGCTTGAACTGAAAGTTCCTGAAGAGGGGGAGGTGGTAGTGTCCGGGATCACTGGATAGCATGTTGTATTTTTGAGAATACTTCCCATGAGCAGAAGTGATCAGTTTTTCAGATTTTCATTTTGTTTAGATTATAACAGTAGTCAACATGCTCTCTTTATCTGTCCAGTTCTTACCCTCTTCTTTCAGAGCATGAGAATCCTGGCCAGGTATGGTCTTCTGTGGGAATAATATGTGAAGAGGCCGTAGGGAGAAAGAGACATTTATTCCACCCACTCCTCTAACACAGGCTGTAACTCATCTCTCAGCTTGCAGCTGCCAATAAGCCTGAAGGATGCCAGAGCCGCCCAAAAAGCATAGCTATCAAATTTGCCGAAATATGCAATCCAGCTGCAATATAACACACACACACACACACACTAGGTCATTGCGGTTGCACTAGCCATGGTTTGGAGACCATAGATATGACAAGAAGGACCCAACCAGGGAAAACACAGTCTGTGGCCACCCACTGATTTGGACTTTGAAGCCAAAATGAAATTTTTTGGGGAGGTTTAGTTTATGTGGGGGCAGAGAAGACTAATTTCATC